TTCAAGAAAGAACAAGAAATATGACCAAGAGTCTATATCTGTTGACTTATAAACACGTACATGTATGTTGGAAGAAGAGTAAATAATGATGACAAGTCAGAAGTGGGGTTAATATTCGCAAATTTTAGGAGTTTTCACAATAAAGACATGCAGAAATAACTCCTTCCCCTTTTCCCAGCATCTAGTTTGTTCATGTATACAAACCAATACTTTGTTTTGACATTTAAAAAAATTGTGAATATGTACAAAAATGGGTACAAAGTTTAATAGTGTGCCTCTCTGAATGATTTTCATTCCTAATTCTGGGAGGATGGGTTTACCAAAAATCATGAATGGAATATCGAGCAAACTTGTCATTGATGCACTTTTGAATTCAATGCAGGTCATACTGTGAACATTTTAAGTTCATTTTTGAGTTACATGATCATTTGTCGTTTGAAGGGCAGGGGGTGGCCAAGGAGACCGGGGGGGGGGGGATTCATGACCCCTTATGCCATTTAATCCGCCATGAATGAATACAAAGACACTTCAGGGTTTCCGATTTTATTTAAAGTTATTTGATTGCTTCGGTATCCAGGAAATGGGAATGCCCCCCCCCCCCCCCGAGACTTGCATCAATGTAATATTTAAATGCATGTGGAACCCAATGATCTTTGACCCTTTTAAACTATACCCCAACCATTTGCATTTCAGATTATTTTACCCCATTCTATACCTAAAGCTGTACTTACTGCCTGACATAAGCTCTGTTAACTTCATTAAATATATTCCAATTAAAACACACAATGAATTAATTCCTACTGATATAATGATGTATACACCATGTGCAATCTAATAATGATAATGATAAAACTAGTACTCGTAGGGTGACACAAGTCCAATGTGAGGCGCGGGTCTAGAAATTTTAAAAAAGGTGTACACATGGTACATGTACATATTTCATATAATAATTACATGACGTTTTAATACATAATTACATATTTTTTAACATAACTTTGTGCTATCTATTTCCAAAAACAGGCAAAATGTGGGAAAAGGGGGGGGGTGTCCTAGGGGTCTTTGCCTCCCCAGATAATGATAAGAGTTTGCACTATTTGATCAATTCTGAAAGTTTGGCATCTAATTTTTTTTAAGTTCATCAAAAGTGCTGTGCACAAAAACAATAATAGTTGTTTTGAAAATAAAATATATGGAGATAACGAACAGTATTCAAGCTCAAAAGTCCATTAAACAATACAAATTATGGAGCAGAGCAAACACGGACCTCTAAAACATCAGAGGTGGGATCAGGTGCCATGGAGGAGTGAGCATCCCCTGCCAACCGGTCACACCCGCCGTGTACTCCTTGTCATGATCGGGAAACAACGGAAAAATCCTTCGGCAATTCAGTGTGTAAACAACGGCATAACAATTAGTATGAAAAACGTCAGTCACCATTTGACTTAATGATAAATTGTATTTGCTGACAAGGTCATTGTATCGACCAAAGAACTTACGAAATGACGACTTTAAACGAAACTGCTGATATTCTTGTTTCATCAACTTGTATGTCAATAACTTACCTCGTTTTGAAAATTGTTCATACGTAGAGCATGCTCTTGCGTATCGGATCAACTCGGAGATATAAACCCGTAGGCAGGTGATGAAGGTATATTGCTGCATAAGTAAGGGAAGTTGAAGATTTAAAAGTTAAAGTCTTCATGTTTATCATAATGCTTGGTTGTTAGATTAATTCTTACGTGTTTTTTTTTTCTTCCAGTCAAATATCCAAATATGAAACAGATGTGTCAGACTATGTAGTATCATTTATTTCAAGCTCACTGGGATGAAATATGTGGAGATAACGAACAGTATTCGAGCTCCAAAGTCCATTAAACATTACGAAATAAGAGCAGAGCAAACACGGACCTCTAAAACATCAGAGGTGGAATCAGGTGCTATGGAGGAGTGAGCATCCCCTGCCAACCGGTCACACCCGCCTCCTTGTCATGATCGGGAAATAACGGAAAAATCCGTCGACAATTCAGTGTGTAATCAATGGCCAAACAATTAGTATGAAAAACGTCAGTCAGCATGTGACTTAATGATAAACTGCATTTGCTGACAAGGTCATTGTATCGACCAAAGAACTTACGAAATGATGACTTTAAACGAGACTTCTGATATTCTTGTTTCATCAGCTTGTTTGCCAATAACTTACCTCGTTTTAAAAATTATTCATACGTAGAGCATGCTCTTGCGTATCGAATCAACTGAGAACCCCGTATGCAGGTGATGACAAAGACATTTTTCAGACAGCCATAGTGTTTATGGAATGATTTTTTTTTGTTTGCTTACAAATATGAATGGCTTTTATTCGAACTTCTGTCTGTTGCGCCAATAACATTCGGAAATCCACAAACTTTTGAAAAGTCAAACATTCTATTTGCAATTTCTGTTTCATCAATGGACATATTATATACCTTGGAGTAACATCTCTAACAGATGTCCAATATCAAATGACGAAGCAGTCTTAACTTTGACATGATCTCAAACATCCATAGATCCCTCTCTCTGTAAAAGTCTTCATTCATATACTAGTTCAGTATTATTCTATATACAGTCGTAATATTTCTAGTTTCTTCCGAAGGAATTGTTTTACCTGTCTTAAAGTTACGGCATAACTTAGGAATATCCTAAGATAAGAAGAGGTTAGTGAAACTGTGGAAGCGTATTAGTGACATTTTGACACTTTTTATTTTTGTTTTTCATTTCTACACTTTAATATGTACAATTTACACTTTATTCTGTACAATTTACACTTTAACATGTATAATTAACATTTTAATCTGTAAAATTTACATTTTAATCTGTAAATTTTACACTTTAATCTGTAATCTTACACTTTAATCTGTAAAATTTACACATTAATCTGTAAAATTTACTCTTTGTAAAATTTTACTTTTTTCTGTAAAATATACATTTTAATCTGTAAATTTTACTTTTTAATCTGTAAAATTTATACTTTAATCTGTAAAATTAATACCTTAATCTTTAAGTTTTCACTTTAATCTGTAAAATTTACATTTTAATCTTTAAATTTTACACAGTAATCCGTAAATTTTACATTTTCATCTGAAAAGATCGATAGGTCATTTTAATGTTTTATACCTATAACATAAAAATGGTATAGACTGAGATGTTTACAAGTGTTTGCATAAAAGTTTATACATGTGTACCACAGGTGCTTGTGAACAGGAACCTCTAACACCCCCACCCCCGAATATACACCCAAGATGTAAGGATAATTTTAGTTGTCTTCTTTCATAAATTATTCTTCTAAAACACATTTACAATGTATTCCATATGGAATTTAAAAAAAAAAAAAATACAATAAACGTTTTATAAAAATAGTCACCCCCAGTATAATACCCGGGATTTACCCGGGTTGGGGGGGGGGGGGGTGTCTTGACGACGAGTAAGTGAGGTTTATAAGCATTATATCATAACTAAGGATTTGCAGTTTGCTTTTGTGCTTCGTAATTTTCACCAGCAAATTGTCGGGAATCTACTTTCAGTATATTTCTTCAGGAATATAGTAAAGGCTACGAGCAATAAAAAATAAATATCCACAAAAATATTTTTTCCATCTTATTGACATAATGATTGATATTGCAAGTTTGTGGGTCTTTGATTAAGATGTGAAAAACAACTCTCAAATTAGTCAATTTAGAACGTAACATTAAAGAAACAACATTGAATCAAAGGGAGTTAATTTCTATGTTGTTCCAAAATTATTACAAACTCATATACTGTAATATTTATTATCAGCTGGTCATTTCAAAATATTCAATTGAATTGTTGCCCGCAATACATATAGAATGTAAATGAATTAATGCTATCAATAACTGAACTGTTCCGCGCATCAAATGAATTTGATTTGTTCTTCACATTCAGTGAATTTACCATTTTTTTTTTTCAAATAGTCTATGAGAGTCTCACTTATAAGTAACTCAAGTGCCTCATTGTCTTTTTTCTATTTCTTGTTTAGGATTTCTTAACTTATTTTAACATTTAGTACAACTGAATTTGTGCATTTCGACCTCCTCACCCGTGAACGAGGGATGGAACCAAAATCTAAATTTCCCTTTGAATTAAAATTACTCCAAGATATTTGGCACACAAACAAACTAAAGAATTTTCAGGCATAAGATGTGCATATCTATAAGAACCATGGACTAAATCTGTAGTAAAAAAAATCAAAATTAGGTTCTTTTTAATAAATGTGAAAGTATAGTATTGTAAGCATATATAAAATGTATATATAACAGTTATAATGTGGAGTCTATAAATTGTATGACTTCCCTTAAAAATGCATTTGCTTTAAATAAATAATAAAATAATAACTATATTTTTAAAATGAGTCCTCCAAGGTTGAATGACAGGCCTCACAAGGTAACCTTTTTGTGTCATTGGACAAGCCCTACTTGAAGCAAGACAAATGGCACGTATCCACAGTGCACACGTGACTTTAAATGGCGTCTTGTTTCAACTATTTTGGGCCAACGTTGGCCCATATACCTATATTCTCCACTGCTTTATTAAGATTTTGATGCAGATATTATATATTATAATATAAAAAGACCGATCGCCATTATCTCCTGAATGCATGTTGGTATTCAAGTTTCATTTGGCACATCCTGTCAAAATTTGCATAATAGTTGCTGCCCTAATAATTTCAACCATTTTAACAAAAGATGGATTTTTAATTAAAAAGTCTCAGATTCGTTGCATCTCTTCAATATTACATTATTTTTATGTTTTCTTGCCGAATGTGCTGAGTAATTATTCATTGTAAATGCAGTTGAAAACAGGAAATATATTAAGTTCTTAATATTTATCTCAAGTTTACAAACAGATTTTTACGTTCGCTTTAAAAGATACTAGTATCAATGAAATAGGAATTTATTTCAAATGACATAAAATAAACTGTGAAATAAAAGTACAACATATAAATTGAACACATTAGAACAATAGCAACTTCTTTGAAGCCCTTTGGCATTAAAAATTTATGATAGTTGTATAAAAATAATTATTTTCATATCCGGACTCATAGTTTCATAAAAGAATGATGTGTTTATGAATATAATACTTGATGTGTTTATGAATATAATACTAGACACAATGATCAGCCTTTGAGGATTATGAAAAAGATGGTAGCATCAAAATAAAGCAAATACGATGCATATTTCTATTGATAATTTTGATAACAGTGCTAAAAAGTAAATGAAAGACACCTAAACTGCCGGCATCCGTCTTTTCCATGCACTTTTCCAGATATTTGACAGACACACCGTAGAATGAAACCGGAAGAAAATGGTCAGTGGGACAGATAAATGATTAAAAATTGTCCAGGCTACAAATCCATAAAATTCAAGTTGCACTGGGTTTGCCCGAGATCTCTGAATTTCAAACGTATTGAGTCCCCACATTGCAATGTTACTGACTAACAAGAACGTAACATATTCCCGCCCAGGCTTTTGTCTCTCTTGTTCTCGTCGCCATGACGACTTTCGCATTCCACTTAAAAGGAAGACTGTTTGCAATGAGGCTTGAAACAGTCTGAAAACACAGGACAAAATGACTAAGTAATCCGTTGGTCCTTTCTTCATGGAAGCGGCAATAATACTGAAAAAAGTAAACACGTAGAGACCTCCTAAACCCAACAGAAGCAACGACTCCTCCAGGTCCAATTCCCTCTCCGAATTTACTCGTAACGTCTGCATTCTGTGGAATGCCAATACGACGGCAATTGACGTCACTACGTAAATAACCACAGCAGATAAATGTTCCAGTTTGACGGCCGTATTGAGATAACTATTCGACCTAATGAGAACAAAGAATGTTATCATAGTTATGACTGTTCCTACGAGGATAAAAATTCCCAAAAAGAGTCCACGACTAGAGCGGGAACAGTCGACCGTCATACGATGAGATTTAGCTTTGCTTTCCTCCTCACTTGTTACCTCCTCATGTGTCCGCCCACCCTTTCCGATATTCCTCCACATAACGTACAGAATTCCTATTTAAATTAAAAAAAAATACCGATGTTTTGAAGTCATTTGTAGGTAAAAATAAAGATGTTGACAATCAGTTGATTAGTACATTTTCTGGTCATGTTAAAATTTCTTTTTAACAGCTTTAAAAATGAATTCTCTTTAAAGATGATCTCCGACTTTGAGGATAAACTTTCAAAAAAATGGAGCGAGGACCCACTCATATGGAAAAATTGTGTTATGAGGAAATGATCATTTTTGCCCTCAAATAATTTCAATCTTTTTTGAGATTTTTGCAAATTGTGAGATTTTACGTGAAATACACAATAATGTTAGATGAAATATCAAGGAAAATTTTGCTAAATTGAGATTTAATTTTTCACCTTCGTAATTATTTGTCGCACCGTAGGCATTGTGCTTGCTAGCTTCTTAAAACGTTTTCGTTTTAATACATGTAGTTAGTCGTGTAAATTTAACTTAAAATGTTATACAAGCGATTTCTTGTTATGTTTGGATATTAGCTATAGGAAATTTTAATTATGTAATGATTTAAAAGTACCTGCACATATGAGACTATATTCAATGGTACATGGATACAAGTAAGAACTAGAGGTTTCCACAACGTCCGACATCAAAGAATTCCTATTACAACCTAGGCGGTATCCTGTGTGATTTTGGACAACAGAATCTGGAAAGGGAAGTCGTAAACAAAACATTCGTTTTACAGGCGTTTTACTTTACGCTCAGAATCTTTTCAGACTCAGAGTTTTTGATTTATGTTTCTTAATTTTCTGCTATTAGAAAAGGTAAAAAAAAAAAAATAACCAGAGAACTACTAAGTATATATAAAGTAAATAATAAAAGCCGCAATAAACTTTCAAACCGTTTGTTACCTCTTGTCTCGTTGGTGCCTGCACCTGTTTCATACAGAGGTCTGATTTCACGCAAGGTCTCCTGGACAATATTTTGGACCCAGACACAAACGTTTGTTGCCACCATGTGCATCAACCCAAACCTTGCCACTGTTTTATATCGATGTATGCACATCTGAAACAAGCAATCCACAAAACCATTCCATCATCTGATGTTTACAAAGAAAATAGCTAATACGAGTAACGAAAAACCTTCCTTTGATCAAAAGTGACATAATCTTTTTATAAATTTCTAAAAATGATTATATACAATTTTAACTTTGCAAGAAGAAAAAAGTATATAACGCTCATATTGGCTACAGGGTCTTGGCAGGCGTTCATTTAAATTATGTGTTAATGCTCCCTAACTAAAAATATTTTTATGAATGTTCTACAAGAATTAATTTTTTTATTTAAAAGAAATATTATCAAATTAAAGTTAAAGACAGCTTTTGTTATTCATTTTATCCATGGATAGGTAACTTCCTATATTCCATTACTCCATCAAATACTGTTAGATTTCAAAACAACCGACAGTCGATAAAAATCACAACATATGTTATGTGGTGTTTGCTTGCCCTTCTGTTCCCACCGATAGTAACGAAGAGCAGGTGTAAATGTTAATATCTTAAAATGTTCTTTGAAGTTTCCCTTTGCAGACTGACTACGGGTGACCGTTTAATTACCATATGGTTCACCTTACTGTCAGAGAATGCACCTTTGCAGCGTTAACAGAAATGCCAAGGTATCGGGCCATCGAGGTATGATTTACTGAATATTTAAACAATTCCTTGCAAAAGATAATTTTATCTGTAAACAATATATCATATTTGACTTGTGTACAGAGTCTGGCCAATAGTTTACAGACGAGGACCTAGTATCAACACGTTCCACCCCACTAAATCTTCACTGCATGAAACATTTATTATTTTATGAACGGATGATAGTCTGCAGCCTGGATTCATAATTATACACTGAACATGTATGACTAAATTTCCTCTATATAGAAAAGTTATTTAGAATCTTTCAATATATACATTAATTTAGTCCCTTATATTATACAAGTACATATGTTCAAGAAAATTTTCATTTTATAACAATTTATTGTAATATTCCTTACATTTGAAATGTAAGATTCTATTTCTTCTGTGCTGTTTTTATTATGCCCAGTTTTTTTTTTTTTTTTTTTTTTTTTTTTTGACGTTTTTCTTTATTTCTTTATTTATTCATAGGGTGGGGTTATTTTTCTGAGTTTGGTAACCACATATTTTGCAGCTAAGAAAAATATTAGTACTGTAATTACTAATTATATTTTTAAATAAATAAGAATCTCCACGGGGAGAGAAAAAATATAGAATGACAAAAACTTGTTTTATTTCACGATAATTGTTCTGCTTTTTAAAATTCACTCAGTGCATTGGTTGGATAATAATATCAATCTTCCGAATATTTCAAAAGATATTATACATTCACTTTAGCGAGAAATTATATAAGAATTAAACTTTTATTATATTTACTTAATGAAGAGAACAAAATAAAATATTATCTCACCTTGGAATTTAAGAATACAAAATAAAGTTGTACAAATGTGAATATGAGATGCAAAATAGGTCTGGCTCCTTCAGCGATATTTTCACATGGGTAGGAAGGGGGGTCTGGGTGTGTGTCAAATAACTCCCCAAAATGAAGCCCACTCTGTATCATACTACCAATACCAAAGCCTAGAAATAATAGAATTAGTTCCAAATTATGATTACATGACGATTATATTCAAAAGATGTGAGAAAATAATTTTACGATATATATTTAAAAAATATATATTTTCATTTTTTTTTTTTTTTTTTTTTTTTTGTTTTTTTGTTTTACGTTATTTAAAGATACGTCTCTCTAAACTATTTTTTAAACCAGACATTTAAAACAAATCTATGTACACATGATGCACAGATATATATTTTTTTCGTCATTCAATATTTAGCATAACCCATAGAGAGAAAAAAAGTTTGATCACAACAATTACAGGTACAAATTTGTATTCATACATTTCTTTTAATTTGTAAAATTTTCAAAATTGATATGGTCATTCGTTTATTTGCTTGCATGTTTAGCATTCGTGTCACAATTCCTTATCAATATATCTGAACGCTACAAAATTTAAGTGTTGCTTTTGACGTAGCATACGTATATACTAATAGCAGTGTTCTTACCTACTGCACCGAGTCTCAGGTAGAAACTTCCGGTATGATAGGTTCGGGAATCATCAAATGAGTACTTCCGTTTTAAATTACCACGTGACCCAGAAGTTGTAGTGTACTGTCCTCTTCGAAGGTTTTTCCGAAGTTTGAGGGATTTATCTTGGAGGAGGTAGACGTACGCATATATTAGAAAAAATACACTGATTGTGTATATGTATATATAAAAACCCTGAAAAAAAGAGGTGTAATTTTTGACGTTCAAAAACGCTGGGAAAAAAATTCTCCTTTATTTTATGATATATAATGATTTGAAATAATAATTACTTAAGACTATGATTTTAAAAAATCGCATAATTTTCCTTTCTTTTATTTCCCAAAAATTATTTGGACATCTTTAATATTGCAAAAAAAAAACCTTTCTCACGTAGATAAAAATAATGAATAGATTCTTGATTGAAGTGTTAACATTATTGCTTGAAGACGTTACCAAGAGCCTCACGGGATTAATTATAATTACAAGAGATGCATGTTATAAAACCTTAGCTTCAACGTCATTTGGAAGAGTTTTCACACGATATTACGAACGAAAATTGAGATAAAATGTAATAAAATAAAACATACATCAAAAAGGAAAGAAAAGATGAAAGTTTCTTTGGAGAAGATCTTTGATATAGGAATAACACAACCCAATACAACAACCGCCATGGCATATAATCCGCTGATGCTCGTGAACATGTTGTCCCTGACAAAAGAAAATTGGGTTAATTTGAATAAATAAAGTTAAAACGTGAAAGCAACGTTTGGCTACTGTGAAAAAAAATCCAATGCAACATACTTTTATTATAATCATCTACAACGGCAAAGTTAATTCTGCACATGGTATTTGAAATATGTTTGAATAAATTTCTGAGTATATTTACAGGTCAGGGATTCATTTTACAAAAGATCTTCTAAAGGATTATTTTTTTTTTTTAAATGTGTTTTACAATTATTTTCTTTTTTGGGATTAATTAATGTAAGCAGTTATTTTAATGTAAAAAAAAAATCGGTCATACACCTTTATACTAGCATTTAATAAAGGCTTTCAGAGGGTCAAGAAAAAATTGTTTAGCCTTAGTGGTACATGCAATGTCTTTTGTTACAAAAGGGCCCTGCTTTGGAAGAGGTGGGGAATAAGCCTCCGGAGAAAACTTTAGAAAGACGGTGACAGTAATTTTTAAAATCTATTGAGCACCACATTTATATAACCAAAATTTACATAAAATAATTGAAAATATATATATAAAGACCAAATTTCTGAATTTGTCTTCAGTGCAGGACTAGATCAAGTTGACTTCATATCATTTTACTCTAAACCACAGAAAATCCACTAAATATTATAAATTACATGTACAAATATTTGTACACAACAATGAACATGTTTTCATCGGCATTTCCACTACTCACATGAGAGTGGAATCAACAGGAATATTGACGTCATTGTATCGGCCATTGTTTTTCTTTAGAATGGACCATGATGCATTTGATGGCGAATCCGGATAGAAGAGTTCTTCAGAATTAGAATGGACATCGTGACCAAGTCCTGCAATTACACAAAGTACCAGTCTCAGAAATTTCGAATAAACAGAATTTAATTGATGCTTTGATAAATGAAAGAAATATTTAATAATATCATTTTTATTTGTAACGTATGAGGTTAAACTCTAAGGTTGCACTAAATCATTAGATTTTCAAGAATTCGACATGCTAATTGGATGGTTTGGAAAATACATCAACTTTACAAGAAGTGAATTAAGCGGGGTTTGCGTGAGATGGTCATGTTGCTTCCAAATGTGCTCTCATGAAGGAAATTAAACAAGTGAAAGACACGAATCTACAACTGGCATGGGCAGGAATATTTTACGGGGAATCAATTCTTCAACATAAAGATGATATTACACTCTCACAGTATGATTATAGGGGTAAGAACAAAACATGCATTTCTTTCAATTATTATTTATTTGGCTTTGAAAATCATATTTCATTTCCATATAAACCTAGTAAATAGTGTGGTATCTGTAAAATACATTTAAGATCATGTTTCTAAGTAATTTCTAAACCGTGCGCTTGTTTCATGGTCAATTAATTTAACTGAAATAACAACAGCATTATACTGTCGAAGAATTCTCTCAGAAAAAAAAAATCAGAACAATAATATACATTGTACATGTATATATCATACTGAAATACGTTTTACAGATTTTGATGATTTTTTTCTATGGAGAAAAATTAAGCATAATATTTCAATGAAATTAATCCCAAACTAATTTTTGGTGATATACAGTGAAAATTCAGATCTCAAAGGAAAAAAAAAGAATTTTAACTTGTATTTTAATTATTTTCGTGTAACTTATACAAGAAAACAGAGATCATAAATATTATTTTATCAACGCTTTATGTTCTTATTCTTTAGACAGTAAATTGATTATGTTTTACAATGTTCTTTATTTTTCGAAATTAGGAGAAAATTCTTCTTACCTCTATCGTATGAGTCAAAACAAAAATTGTTTGATTTACAACAGTCCATAATAACGAGTTTTACAAAAAAATCATTCCTCGCCACAATTCCATTTTAATTACGTTTTAACTTGCATAGAGCTTGGAAGGAACGAACTTTCATTAAATCCAATTGCAAAGATTTATATATCTATATTAAATGACATTTCGAGCTCTAAAAGATGCGAGAAAATGTGTCTCTGTGTCAGTGTTTTAAGGTGTCAGGCATTCGATACCAGGGGAGATGTTTCAGCGATAGGTAATCCCATTGTGGCTTTAAAGTGGATGCGTTTAACTACGGTCGACTGAAGGTCGAAATGTACCCGAATTTTCATCGTATGAATCATTGTGTTTTATTTTTATGCAAAGGGTTATATTCACATTTTTACTATTCCAGTCTGAAACTATGTAAGTAAGGATATTGATTAATTTAATTAGTACTTTTCGTTGCTAATTTTTACACACACTGACACAGACATCTTTTTTAAATACTTGTGTTGATTGGTAGTGTTACACCATCCCATGCTAAAACAGATAGCTTATTTTACTCAAACTTATCCATAAGAATTTCTTTAAAAAAAGAAATTTATCATATTTTCAACAGTGAAATACTGTAATTTATTTAAATGAATAAAAGTGATATTCTGTCACAGTACGAAAGAATATCAAAGTGATATATTCTGTCACAATGTGAAAGATTATCAAAGTGCGGCAAAACATGAGATTTTCCTTCCCTTCTTGAATTTTGTTGTACATACTCCCTGGCCTAACTCTTATAAGGTAGAATGTATACCGACCCGACAGAGATTAAAACTGCCAGAGTTTTTCCAACTATGTTGTTGAAATCCAATGTTTATTCTCACAATTGCTAAGCTGTCTCAACCGCTCAACTATGATGTCACAGTCTATGACACTGAGGTACGAAAAGACAGATCAAAGGAAAAATCAAAGAAAATGTAATAAACAGAAAATTCAATATTTTGTAGTTTCACGAGACAGTATTGTTTTATATTTTGTGCTTCGCACTCATGAAAATATATTTTAAAAAAATCTTGTCCCATTCGTGAAATAAATTTCATATCCATCCATAAAACATGAATATCCTCTATATAAATGTACTTCCTCTCACTTAAACAGTATTGAAAATACAATGTACTATTCATTCACGGGTACTTGTATCATCTTTTGTGTCTGTCTTCTTAGTGAGCGGGGTATATTTATTTATTAATTTTATTTCATTTATTTATTTATTTATTTATTTATTTTTTTTTGGCCATTTATTCATGGATACATGTTAAGTATAAATTCTGATACCTGAATCTCCATTTGGGTGGGTCTCAATCACAATTGTTTCTGTATTTCCAGTCCTTGGGTTATGGCGTAAAAGACTGATGTTTCTGGACGACCTTCTCTGAATCTGACATTCAACGTCACTTGGAAGTTCATGCCATGAGTGACTTCTGCCCACGTTAGCTTCGTCGCCAGTGCCCGCTTGTGACGTCACCACTGACGCGTTTCCAGATGAGGAAACTTCACGGGAGGAGTACCGTGGAATTGTATTATTCCGGTTGCTGGGGCTTTGGACACAGCTGTCGCTGGCATTGGAGCTGGTCAAACTAGGAAGTGGAGGAGTGGAAACGCTTCCACTGGTCCTTGTTCGGTTTCCCACCCATCTGTCGCAGTAAAAGGAAAACAAATGTAAATTTATTTTTCTGCTGAGAACCATGCAGTACACTTAAATTTACATTTATATTCTTCAATACAAGAACAGGCATCACGATGTGCTCTATTGAAAAATTTTCTCATCTGGCATTTTAATTAGGCTTAATTACCGTTACACGTACATTGAAACCTATCAGATGGTTTTTGTTTTTGTTTATTTTTTTCTCTTTTTTTTTTGGGGGGGGGGAGGTCTTTGTTTCGTTCTTTTTTTTTTCTTTTTAGGTCACCTGAGTCACTCAGGTGACCTATTGCTATCCGTTCTCGTCCGTCGGCGTGCGTCGTGCGGTGTGCGTCGTGTGTTAACATTTGAACATTTTTTGCTTCTTCTCTGAAACCGCTTAACCAATTTCAACCAAATTTGGCATATAGCATCTATGGGTGAAGGGGAACAAAAATTGTGAATTCCATGGTCCCTGTCCCCCTGGGGCCTGAGGGGTGGGGCTAAAACCACCAAAAATAATGCAATCTTTAAAAATCTTCTTCTTTACTCCTGGACATCAAGCAGTCAAACTGTTGGCATAATTGTAATAAGCATTGAGTCCTCTACCAAAATTGTGAAATTCATGGCCCCAGGGTCAGGGGTTCTGGTGCTAGGGTGGGGCTATATAGATCATATAGGGAAAGTGCATTATTTCTTTGAAAATCTTCTTCTCTGCTCCTGGGTATTAAATAAAGTAACTTAGTACATAGTTATGAAGAACAAGAGTGCCTCTTTCAAAATTGTGAAATTCATGGCCCCAGGGTCAGGGGTTCTGGTGTTAGGGTGGGGCTCTATTGATTATATAGAGAAAATGCATTAATTCTTTGAAAATCTTCTTCTCTGCTCCTGGGTATTAAATAAATTTTCTAAGTATATAGTTATGATGAGCAAGAGTGCCTCTTTCAAAATTGTGAATTTCATGGCCCCTGGGTCAGGGGTTCTGGTGTTAGGGCAGGGCTCTATTGATTATATAGTGAAAATGTATTAATTCTTTGAAAATCTTCTTCTCTGCTCCTGGGTATTAAATAAAGTAACTTAGTACATAGTTATGATGAGCAAGAGTGCCTCTTCCAAAATTGTGAATTTCATGGCCCCAGGGTCAGGGGTTCTGGTGTTAGAGCAGGGCTTTATTGATTATATAGTTAAAATGCATTAATTCTTTGAAAATCTTCTTATCTGCTCCTGGGTATTAAATGAACTAATTTAGTACATAGTTATGATGAGCAAGAGTGCCTCTTCCAAAATTGTGAATTTCATGGCCCCATGGTCAGGGGTTCTGGTGTTAGGGCGGGTCTCTATTGATTATATTGTTAAAATGCATTAATTCTTTGAAAATCTTCTTATCTGCTCCTGGTTATTAAATGAACTAATTTAGTACTTAGTTATGATGAGCAAGATTGCCTCTTCCAAAATTGTGAATTTCGTGGCCCCAGGGTCAGGGGTTCTGGTGTTAGGGCGGGGCTCTATTGATTATATAGTGAAGATGCATTAATTCTTTGAAAATCTTTTTCTCTGCTCCTGGATATTAAATGAACTAAGTTAGTACATATTTATGATGAGGAAGAGTGCCTCTTCTGAAATTATGAATTTCATGGCCCCAGGGTCAGGGGTTCTGGTGTTAGGGCTGGGCTCTATTGATTATATAGTGAAAAGGCATTAATTCTTTGAAAATCTTCTTCTCTGCTCCTGGGTATTAGATAAACTAACTTAGTATATAGTTATGATGAGCTAGAATGCCTCTTTGAAAATTTTGAATTTCATAGCCCCAGGGTCAGGGGTTCTGGTGTTAGGGTGGGGCTCTATTGATTATATAGTTAAAATGCATTAATTCTTTGAAAATCTTCTCTGCTCCTGGGCATTAAATAAAGTAACTTAGTACATAGTTATGATGAGCAAGAGTGCCTCTTCCAAAATTGTGAATTTCATGGCCCTTGGGTCAGGGGTTCTGGTGTTAGGGCAGGGCTCTATTGATTATATAGTAGAATTGCATTAATTCTTTGAAAATCTTTTTCTCTGCTCCTGGGTATTAAATAAACTAACTAAGAACATAGTTATGGTGAGCATGACTGCCTTTTCAGAAATTGTTTCATGGCCCTTGGGTCAGGGGTTCTGGTGTTAGGGATGGGCTCCATTGATTATATATTAAAATTGCATTAATTCTTTGAAAATCTTCTCTGCTCCTGGATATTAAATAAACTAAGTACATAGTTATGATGAGCATGGCTGCCTCAGAAATTATGAATTTAATGGCCTCTGGGTAAGGGGTTTTGGTGTTAGGGCGGGGCTTTATTGATTAGATAGGGAATAGGCATGAATTCTTTCAAAATCTTGTGTGCGCCTGGGTTTTTTTCAAACAAAGGAAGTGCATGGTTATGATAAGGAAGAATGCCTCATGGCCCTTGGGTCAGGGGTTCTGGTGAGGGGGAAAGAGCTCTATTGATTATATATAGTGAAAATGCATAATTTCTTTCAAAATATTTTTTCTACTGCTGGTTATAAAGTAAAGAAACAAGTGTATAGTTATAATGAGAAAGGGTGCTTCTTCCAGAATTGTGAGTTCATGGCCAATGGGTCAGATGTTCTGGGTAAGGATGGGGCTTTATTTATTTAATATTATGGTGAAAATGCATTTCTTTGAAAATCTTCTATGCTTCTGGGGATGTTCAAGGCAAACAGAGTAAAAGTTTTAATATGCAAGGGTATTTTTACCAGAATTTTGAACACCTGGACCATTTAGTCAAGTGTTCTAGTCCTGGCCAGGGCTCTATTAACTTGTATTCTGCTGAGCAAAGTTATTCCCCTTTGCCATTCACCTTTGATAATTAATCAATGTAAATAATGTATTTGAAAGCTTAATAGAATAAGAGAATTATGCAAGATAATTTATTGTATAATGAAAATGTACTTTCATAGATTTAATGACTTGGAAAGTCAGATAGGCAGATAGATACTAGACCAATTATTTTGTTGATGCTAATCATACTATTTTTCTTGCTTTTGGGCAACAAAGCTTCATTTTTCAGTTTATGGATCCTCTAAATTGTTGTATTGTACTCAGGTGACCGTTAAGGCCCTTGGGCCTCTTGTTTCATTTTTTTTCTTTGGTGTGTGAGGGTGTGTGTGTGATTTATTTTGTTTTATTGAAAAATTGCTTGATTTACCAGCTAAATCGAGCGCTAGTTCTTAGATGCATAAGATGATAAGTATAGTACATGTAAATCAACAGAAATGAATTACTTGCACGTATACAAACGAAATTCTCAAATTAGGAAACTATCCAGACTATGTAAAGTAAATTATTTGTTAACATAGCACTTGCGTCAATAATCTTGTATTTAATTAATATTAGCATCATAATACTTCAGCAGAATCAAAATAACATAGTAATATATATCTTTTATCTAAATTTGTTTTTAAAAAGTTCAAAGAACATCATAATTTGCTTATCAGCTCTATACTAGTACCCTTTTTTCTTCTACAATCTTGAGTTTCAAAGTATATCCAGTCAAACACAAAAAGGGAACGTTGTTGAAGGATTTTAATTACTAAGTGTTCATAACTCCCATAACATATAATCAATTCTTAGTATCTAACGTCAGGTCCTTGTTCGACAACTGATCCACAAAACAGACCAGAGTGTAAAAAATTCCTTACTTTAACCCCTCCATATTGTATTAGAACGTTCAAATGAAGGGTCTAATACACCAATACTAAATTTTCCAACTTCTGTTAATTTTCATGTCTTTTAGACCAGGGTTACGATAACGACGAATCTAACACTGGCTTCCTAAGGGATTTCTTTAGTTTTATGTTGATAAATTGTGCGGCAACGTCTCCGTCAAGAAGAATGGGCGGAAGTTTCGGGTTCCTAAAGCAAGGTCTTTTCAATGACATAATTAAATAAAATTGTTATCGAAGTCCACAAAAACTGAAAAACAAGGATGATGGACGCGAGGAGAGATTTATGTTCGTACTCCGACCAAACGTTCATATAAGCTGATAGGTGAAGGCGTGTCTATAGGTCATCGATTTATCTAGCACTTGGGAGAAACAAGATATTACTATTTTTAAGGAAAATTTTAAAATAACAATCCTGTAGACTTTGACAGGTTGTATCGACTTTGTTGACCCGATGGTTTTAATCTCGCTCTACGGTTAGTTTTCCATCAAAATAAAAAAATAATATGGAATGATATTGAATTACATGTAAATTTGGGAAACAAGGGTAAATTTATCAATGCAATGTCATCATGAGTCCCCAACTGGGCCCCAAGAAATCTTATACAGTACAGTACCAACCAGACCCAACCTGACACAAAGCAGTCCCAGAGCAGTCCCGGGGACTGCTTTCTGGGACTGCTAAAGCAGTCCCACAGCGGTCCCAGAGCAGTCCCAGAGCGGTCCCAGAGCAGTCCCAGAGCGGTCCCAGAGCAGTCCCACAGCGGTCCCAGCAGTCCCAGCGGTCTCAGAAAGCAGTCCCAGCAGTCCCAGTGGGCGGGGTTATTTAATTTAATGGGCGGAGCTTACTCAGAATGAGATTACCAATAAACAATGTAACTATATAAAAGGCAGTTGAAATTGATGAGCAATTCTTTCTGAGTAGTATCAACAGATATTTACAATTCTTACGTGACAGTCATTTCTGAACTGTTAAGAAAATCACAGTACGTGTATAGAAACAAATTATAATTATTGAATGAAGAAGACGCTCACATATATTAATAACATGAATATTTAAACACAATTATTTGGTATATTAATTTTTAACCAAAATAAACCAATTTATTTTTTGTGATTGATATTGGTTTTCATATTTATTTTTTATATAGAAAATTAAACTTGAATTGTTTATTTTATACCAGAATTAGCTTTAAATAGATAATAATAATTATAGAGCAAGGCCGATTCCCATACTATACTCTGAATGCATTTTTCTTAAGTATTGGAGCTTTTGAAAAATTCTTTGTTAAACATTGCTGAGTATTATATTTCAGTCATGATTATTTTCAATGACTTCTTAATTAAATTATCTTTAGATTCTCAGTTTTAATTGTTTTATTTTATAAATGTTCGAGTGTACATCTGTAAATCACGCAAATGGAACCCTCAGATTATGTTCAAAATTAATTAATCCCGAAATAAATTTATACACAATTATTGAAACTAAGATTTTTTGCAGGACATAGATTGAAATTAGTGTCAATGTTGACCAGCGTGTTCAATGATGTGTAACACTGATACCCAAATAACATGCATTGACTTTCTGCTAATTATGCCCAAAGGCGATTGAAACCTCAGGTGTTGACACCATTTTATACAATCCAGCTGTATTAACCGGCCAGGTAAACACAAACAAAGAAATAAGAAACAGGTCACAATTCCCGATATTTTCAAATGTTTATTTTTTAAATAAATGTACTCTTTTAATAACTTGTTTATAAATTAAAAACTAATTCATAAATAAATCCCCGAATAATTGTTCACATTGTTTATGTGACAGAAGAATGGTAGAATAATTTTATTTCATGGTCATTAAATAAATTATTAGGTTTTATTTGAGGGTGGTAAAAAATAGCATGGAGTGCTCTTTTTTAAGCATGGTATTAGCTTTTTCAATTAAGAAAAAAAAATTCAGTACAGTACGTTCCTCTGAATACATGTATCTTACTGAAATGACAAGTTTGTTTGTTTTTAAATAGTGCTAATGCAAACTTTGAGTACACATGTAATTTGAAAGCATTAATTTATTAAATAGGCCTAGAATTTTTTCTTTCAAACACCTGTATTGAAGTTTAATTTAAGGAATAAAAATCATCCCCTGACTTCCCTTTTAACTACTTTTATTTTCTTAAAATTAATTCTAGACTACAATTGTGTAAATTTATAGCCCTCTTAAGACATTTAGTAATTACATGTATAACTATCTCTATTTATTCAATTTTTGTAAGAAATTAATACTTGTTTTTTTTATATTTGTTTCTATCTTAAACACCTCTCTGCAGAAAGTAAACAAAACAACAACAAAGAGCTGCAAATTCAGAATACACAAGGGGCGGAGCTATCATGTCACTCAGAACCTTTTTCACGCATGAGTGAACAAAGCAGTCCCAGAAAGCAGTCCCAGACACTGCTGGGACTGCCGGGTCTGCTTTCTAGAGCAGTCCCACAGCAGTCCCATAGCGGTCCCACAGCAGTCCCAGAGCGGTCCCAAAAGCAGTCCCGGGGACTGCTTTCTGGGACTGCTTTGGTGTCAGGTTGGGTCTGGTTGGTACTGTACATTGCCACCTGATAGTGAGATATTCGAATTTTGACATCTCTTAATTTTTCAAGACAAAAAAATAGACAAACTCGAAATTTTTCAAAAGTTGATTTTTTCCCCGAATGTCTGCTTTCTAATCTTCCAGCTCAATCAAATTATAAGCCATAATCTTCAATGCTGTCATAAAATGTAGTGTGGTAATTTTGTGAGTGATATCGATTGGGGACCCGTGGGGATCCACTTAGCCACCTTCGTGTCTGGCCGGCATGTGTCCCGGTCGTTCCGTCAGAAGTTCACACAGCGAGGTGAGGATGACATACGGAAAAAGCCCCAGAGCAACGAAACAAATCCGATGTTAATGGATTTCATTTAAGTGATCTCTGCAATTTCACCGATTTCGCACCTTTCTTGACGAAAATGCGTGCAACTGCAAATATCTGGAATATCATCGGAGATATTGATCTTCAGCAAATTACTAAAGACATTTTTTTCCTACTCTGACACTTGCTACGATTATGAACCTTAAGTTTTCCAAAGTAAAATGGACTGTTGGTTAGAAATCCGGATTCCTTTGGACAGCATGTACACGACAACTCTATTTTTAATACTTTGACATTGATTTAAAACATATCACTTGTTACTGTTCTTTATGTCTATATTTCAAGATAGATAATTTAGGTAAGACACATATCATCTACTTTTCAAACCTGACAAGGACATAAGAGATAGTTGTTGACCTGGAAGACAGACAGTTATCCACCCTAGGGAATTCTTTAATTGCTCCGTACTTCGTAACAAAAACCAGAGAAAGCTTCTCTGAGTAATTGCCTTAAAATACCGAATCAATTAGTGTCGCAGCGCAATCATCATAAAACAAAACTAGATAACCCTTGATCAACATTAACATTTAATCGTACCGAATCCATTTCAGTGAAACATTTGTTTTAACGAAATTACTACATTCCAAGTATTTGAATCATTTTGGTAACACTTTCTCTTCCCCCCTGCGCGCTCGTTCTATGAGCCAACATCTGTTTATAGTTTGTTTTTCCTGTAATAATGTTTTCATGAATACATGTTCATTAAAACTACACCGTAAATAATAATTTTAAAGTCCCTAATACAATGTATTCATTTCACATGTTTTCTTTTTGAAGTTACTCTTTTAATGGTGATAACATTTACTCTTAAAGAGACACATAATATGCAGTAGATCAGTTTTTGATATAAATCTAACATGCCTAATGATTAGAAATACTTTATGTAAAACAAATTTGCTCCTAATTGTTTGTTTTTTGTGTTTAAAAAAAAATTCAATGATTCAAACACAATTATACAATCCCCCCCCCCCCCCCGAGGGATTTTTTAAAATCCACATGAAGTGGTTAGAAGGTTCCTTTTCTCACTTTCTTTATACTGGAATCAGTACTTACATCTGCGTTTCATCAGATTCAGACGACGTGCTGGTTTCGTCTGTCGTCTGCCCACCACGGTCCAAGATAAACTCCCCCTCCGTGCAGCTGTCCGAGTCGCTGCTTATTATACTACTCACTATATTCAAATTGTTCAACAAGCACCTGTCCGCTACCCGGGACACAGGCGGTGACGGCGGGTCCCCTTCGTCCTGGGTGTTACTGGCGTCAGTATCCACTGTGTCACTATAAGGTCTATAAGTATTTTCAGAATCGTCCCCACTGTCTGACTCGGGAATGTCCAAATTACAGTCATTTTTATGAATTCCAATCTTAGGCTCCTGTTTGTCAATATTTATTGTCTTTGTGGTGTCTTTAAAATTAGTCACTGCCGTATATCCATTCATGTTGACACCGATTGATAGGAAAGTCTCCAGAAACAGAATTTTCTACACAAAATTATTCCTTGGTCTTTGATAAAGTACACTGGCAATCCATTAACTGACACAGCATTGTCAAAAGACGTCTGCACTGCGGTTCGCGCTTCTCTTCTGCATTCATTAGCCCAGCGGTTAACTGATTTTTACTGGTGCTGCCCCGGCATCAAAAGCAATCTGGAGTTTTTCGTTTCTCCTTTGTCATAACAATATTCCATACAAAAATCACACTGTGATATTCAAGTTACTGTTTACTCGCGGAGGATACAAAATACCCCTTGCCTTTTAAAACCCCTTATACCAAAGCATCCTGACAGTGCTCGGCTGTGAAACATTGGCCGTTTGATTAAGTAGTCGGTTGAGGAACAGAACATTTTATCAGTAAATATATAATTTGTACATTACGCAATGTATAGAAGAGATGAGTAAAACAATAACCTCATTACCATGATTTGATTCCAATATGTTGTCGATAGTGTAAGCTTTACATTCTTCATTGGTCTATTCTAGATGAGTAAGCTTACAATTAATTGATTCTATGAATTTTGGGCTTTCTAAACAAATGATTCATATACATCGTTTAAAGGTGTGGGTGGGCTAAATAATGTCCTCTCTCTCTCTCACACACACACCATCTCTTTCGAGATGCGGAATTATCGTATATTAGCCTACGAAATATGAAGCATTTAATTACAAGACTTTGCAGCCTTTTGAAAAAGAGAGAACTAAACACTCTGCAGCTTATCGAAACCGGTTTGCCTTGGTAAAAGTGAGTGCATTTTCTTAAAATTGTGTAAAAAATTTACTCTCAGTTATTCATTCATCAAAAATACAGTATGCCTTCCGTGGGCGCGTTTTACAAAAGAACTTACGACTAAGACCAAAAAGTTAGGTTGATTGTAAAATCTTGCAAAATGAATGATTCTGTTAAAAACTGCTTGCATAAAAATATCTTTCTAATTTTTTTTATTTAAAAGATTAAAACAATTTTCAAATAAATGTAAATCAGAAAGTTATTTACAAAATTACATTTTGGTCTTAGTCGTAAGTTCTTTTGTAAAAACGAGGACAAGGTGTAAGTTGTAAACTTATATTTGAAAATCGGGTTCGGCAATCAAAATATCTAAAATGGACCTGGATGATGTGAGTAGAATTCATTTATGTACAATTTTGTAATATACAGCTTTATTTCACTTGTCATAATTTTTCTTTATAGAGGGTATTGAAACCTCATCAACAGAATTATCCAATTTTCCTTTCTGATTGTTCAGAATGTTTTCAGAGCCCAGATAATCAAGTAGTTACGAGGAGAGGTAGATACTTTGTAAAGCGGCGGGTTAACAGGGAACACAATAGTAATTTCAATGCCGGGTACATCAACATTGATGAGCAGTATCTCCACAGGACTGGGGTCAGAGGTCGTAAAGTCTACCTGCTGTATTGCCTTATCTTCATTCTGGTTGTTCTAGCTCTGCTAAATATATTGGTAAATACTAAATATTAATATAGGGCTGCCAACTCCCTTGTGTGCGTAGTAAGTACGACCCATAATCGTGCATATAGACAAAGGTGCCATTGCACCATGCATGCCCGGGGCTTAATGGAACCGGTTTTTGGTACAGAGTCCTATACATACCCTTTTTATTTTGAATTGAAAAAAGCAAAATCTGGAAAAAATGATGACATTATGTATTATTGTGAAATAAGAAAGGTAGTAGGCTTATCGTCTATCCACATCTTTATATCATCTCAAATTCATAAAAAGGCACTGAAAAATTCAAATGGTGTTATTTAATTGGAGGAAAAATTAAAGTCAAATGGAACCAGGTCCTCTTACCTTACCTGCGTTTAACAATATTAAGTTGTGGGATGGGGGGGCACACACCTGCAAACAGAAGTTACCTGAAAACAAAAAAATGAAAAAAAGAAGAAAAGGGTTATCAGATGTTTGTATTGAGGGAGACGGCTATAAATTAATAGCTTTTTTCTTTTGTATATTAATATACTGGTAAAATTAAATTGTTGAAGAGTACAGTGAAGAGAATATTACATGTAGTCATTTGTATGGCTATTACAGGAGTTTGGTTTGTAAAATTTTGTAACACGTAATATATTATGTAATAATAAATTTTAAAAAATACTAAATGTCTCAATTACATGAATGTAGTAAAAAAAAAAAAAACAGAGAATTTTCATGAGAAGGGGATTTTTAGAAATAGATACAATTAGAAAACAATAATTTTTTTCCCATAACTTGATGTAAAGCAGTTTTGTATAATCATATGGGTATTTTTATCAATTATTTAGATGACAGCAGGTATCCTGTACATGCTAAGAGTGAGCACAGAAGGAATAGAAATGCTGGAGTTTATCCCAGAAAACAATCTGCTGCGATTTCTGGCAGAGACTACCTTGCCCTCTATCAGTTTGTACCAAGGTGGAATTGGCAGCAGGCATGCTTCTTCATTAAACATTGATTCTGGACAACAGGTATGGTTCTTCTTTCACCTTATTGAAAGATAAGCTTTGTCAGTTGATCACATTTAGAATAATTACATAAAATATCATACAGGATGTGTGCAACATAAATTTCAAATGAATATGCATGTCATGGTTACCGTTTATGTAAATTCTATCATGTGTTAAACAAAACTTTAAAAAAAAACCATTGATAACCAATGCTTGGGAAGTGCAAAGTTGACTAATGGGAAGTAACTCATTTTCATGTAAATGACCAAGACTGTCTTCCTATGAAATGTTACACTGCATCTTCAAAGGAACAAATAACAGAGAGATGATCTCATGGTATATTTTTATAAACAAAAAAATGCAATGGAATACAAAATTTTCAGTGCTTTATTTCTGATCCACATTCACCATTTTGTCAGATTTCTTAAAGGTATACCAGTACTGGTATATGCACAATGTACTTAAACTTTTTAGCAATTAAGTATTCCAAAGGAGGTCACAATTTTTGAAATATTAACTTAAAGGATTCTGTGAAAAGTTTGATTCATGGTTATTCCATATATGGGAAGAAAACTTATTATGAATTATACATAAAATTTTGTTTTAGATTGTATTAAATGCATCCTCTTTAAAGAAGAAAGATGTTGAAGGTAAGTATAAGTAAAAGGCAGATAGATGCAATATATTTATGTTCTGATGCAAGTGTCCTTAAAACAGTTACATAAAATGATTTGATTAAATACACATTTATTTTAAATATATAAAGTAAATTGTTCAAATATACATTTATTTTGTCATTGAGTGTATATATAAACGTATTCAGTATCTGTTACAACATGAAAAGAGGTATTTGTAAATTCTAGTACAGCTAAAATTGTGCCAAAAAGTACTTGATTCTTTGCATCTTTAGGTATAATAAATCCAAACAGAATTCAGTTCCATTCTTTGGATGAATTTGTGGTTTCTGACTTGGAAACAAAAACCAATTTCTTCTCAACCAAATCTCAAAAATGGAGCAATGTTCAAAATGCTGGATTAAATCTGCATGTCCCATTTCTTTCAACTGGTCATGTAAGTTTACCAGTATATTGTCATATATATATATCAAATACTAGAATCATCTATCTTTTAAAAACTAAGAATTCATCTTAAAAATCATAATCATTTTGTCATCTATTTTTCATGTAAAACAAGGATATTATTCTGCAAGCTTTTGTACATGTATTTAAAATACCAGAGTAGCCTTTGTTTAAAATGTTATTTTTAATATAAGTCATATGATGTTGAATACATACAGATAAAGAGTTTGCCTGGGGTGGATAGATTAGTTATGGAGGCCGATAGAATGTTTCTAACAGGAATGGAGAGTTTTGATATGGTCTCTCGGGATAAACATATTCACATCAATGTAGGTCGTAATCTTCTTGTTCAGTCTAAGGTAAGTCATTCTTGTCTCAGTTATGAATACAGCTACACATGTATAGCCATCCGGTTAAAGTTTATGTCTTTGAATATTGTATAAGAGGTGATCTCTGGGAGAAAAGACAATTTCAGCTTAATGATGACATTTCTTCCATCATTTAATATTTACATCCACTGAATATTATCTCCCTTATTTCTTAAGAAAACCATTGCCATTTATCAGTCCGTAAACACCGCCAAGCATATCACCTTTACACATTTCTGAAGCAATGGCTGTTCCTTCCATGAAACGTACAGTGACGTGCATATCAATAATACATTATTTCATCTACTAAATCCTATTTTGAATGAATATTTGCACAGATATAAATATAAACAATAAAATGTCTTTCTTTCTTTGTTAGTACGAATTAACATTGCAGCCATTGCAGGAAAAAAATCACATAACCCGCTTACGCAGGTTATGCATTTTTTCTGCAACAGCTGCAACATCAATTCCCATACTATCAACCAAAGAAAGCATTTTATTGTTTAAATGAACGTATCATTTCTACCACTGTCAATCTAAGTAAAATTAGATGTTAGATCTGCTCACATTCTTGCTATATGCCTTGTGCAGCGAGTAGGCTAGTGCATGTAACATCTAATTATAATTTCAATTAGATTGAACCATTGTAAAAGAGAAATTTGAATTCCCTTTGTATATGTATTTCATCATATGCTGTTTAAATACCGGTACATTCTTTGTAAAATTGAAAGCATTTTAAATCTGTACATGAACAATGTAAATGATGATCATCCACTCCAAAAAAAAAACACTTTGAGAGGGTTGTTTGGGTGGGTATGATGAAGAAAAATCATGCTTTCCTTGTTAAATTTAGGTAGGAAACATCAACATTGAAGCATCCAACCATACGTTTATCAACAAGGATACTCCAAACAGCAGTCAATACTCAGCGGACACTAACATAACAGTGTACAAGATGTGTGTGTGTATGCCAAGTGGTAGACTGTTTACTGTTGAATCAGGATCAAACTGTACAACAGGTGCTGGGGTGTGTCAGTAAAACTTTATCTTACATGAAAGTACTGTAAACCAACTATTATTCGCATCATCTTTTATTCGTGATTCGTCAGTTTGAAATCAATCCGCGATGATTAATTTTCGCGACTGAGAAATTACTGTATACAAATACAAAGCAAAATAAATGGTTCGCAGGGATTAATATTCGCGAGTTATAGAAGATCACGAAACTTGCGAATATTTCTCGCAGGCGACTAAAAGTTGGTTTACAGTATATTGTAAATAATTCATATCTTTATTACAAATTATTGGATATTTTTGTATCAGATTTTTTATGTGCCTTTATATTGCACTATTAATACATGTATTTAAACTGGTGCTAGATTAAAGAAAAAAAAACAACAATAATTTATCTATATAAATTATTTTTTTTTATTTAAATTTAACAAATGTCTTATTCATAAGGTCTTCAATATTAAAATCTTTCTCATGCTAGATGCATTTTATGTTTTCATCCAGCTACTTAATATAGAGCCATGTTTCTTTCAATGATCATGATTTGTGTAGATCAACTTTTATGGATAATACCCTGTGATTAGAGGCATTCAAAAATGCCATTTTGTTTTACATCAACATTTTACTTCACCCTTTGAAATGTCAATAATCAAGTAGATGTACAGATACAGCAGGTAAATAAATACAAATATCTTATTTTTGTAGTATTAGATCTATATATGTACAGTGTATATTTTTGTCTTGAGGAGTGATAAGTGTAGTGCTATATTTTTTTTATTTGCTGTGATGAAGGCTAGCTTGGTATTTAAACAGCACCAGGCTGAAGTCAAGGGATAAAAGCTTTATATATTAAACTTATTGCTTCATTACTCTCTGAGAGTATAGTAGGTTGACTTGTTCATTACAAGAAGGTTCAAATAAGAGGGCAAGAGAAAACTTGCAATAAGAATGAGAGAAATGTGACCCTGGTAAGCATTGCGGTCCATAGGCTCGTTGTGGATTTGGGAGTTGATTTTATCAACTCCTCATAGTCAGCGCGCCAGAGGCGCATCAATACATACAAATGACAAACAGCTACCAAGGGGGTGTCCTCAATTAAATGCAGGATGTTGTGAAAATGGGAGAAATGTTGAAATTAGAGTTTAAACTACAAATTGAGCAGGGTGTGAAGATTTAAAAATGCAATGTATAATCTCAGTAAACGGCAGGCCTAAATATTTATGTAAGAAAATAGATTTACAGATATTGCGAATAAGAAAATAGTGCATATATTCTAATTTTAAGATAGGAAACTCGCTCCTAAAATAGCTTAGATACGTCATTTTCATCAGTTTGTAGGGAAAGGCTGAAAGTATCCTCGTGATTAAAACAATGCATAAACACCATGCTTCGACAATATGAGTCCCATAATAACGGGATTAATAATCAGACATACGATTAAATGCATGTCAGTTTATACAGAGAACACAAAATCAGATTGATACAGACAACTGATGTAAACCCTATAATGTTTATGTACATATGCGAGCAAGACTGATTATCACAGCGGGCATTATGTGCCTCCAGTATCTCTAACATGTGTAAAGTTCTAAATCTCCAAACTGCAGCAGACGTGACCTACTTGACTAACTTATTTAGCAGCCTTTTACTTTTGTGCCTGGAATGATAATTATTGATAGTATACACAGGATTAATTTTTATTAGATGTGTAATTGAGATGGCTTATTTAATATTTTTATTTTTGCAGGAATATTAATGCTGTGCATGCATAATTGTCTCAACAATTAGTTCACTGTTGATAGAACGGAATTCGGAGTGGATCCAGAATTTTGCTAATTTTGGGCACATTGAGTATGTTTGGAGTGGAGTGGGGTGTTGAAATAGCCCATTTCCTTCTAAAACAAAACCGTGTGATTCGTATATATTTGCGAACAAAGACCAAATATGTTGCTTTGTGGTTTAATGTACCTGTAATGAAATATTTCATCTCGCTGCAATCTTAGTTAGATTCCAGCGAAAAGTAAAAATAAAAAATAAAAATGATACATTTAAAAATGAATTATGCCACGCAATAAGGTTTAATTTATAAACGAACGAAATTTATTTATATGTAAATACACTGTTATGTCATATATAGTGTATCTTAAACAAATATATACCTAAGTGTATCATTTCTCATGCTCTTATCGTTTGCTCAAAGTATATTAACTTTATCAAAAATATAAATTAATTAATTAAGTTTTAAAAAAGGAAGAAAAAATTCATAGTTTCAATAAATTTAGACATTAAAACCATTGTTCACTTTTTTGATCATTCAATTAACCCTATTTTAATTATTGTATGCATATGAAATTTGGGTTTATTTTAATCCATTTACTACAAAAAAAGCATCCCTGGCGGTACAATAGATAGGATGTTATCCAAATCATTCTGTGATAAACTGAAAGTTTGCAAATTAATACTTGATGTACATAAATATGCAAATAGTTTTGCTGTACTATCTGAATTTGGTAGATTTCCCCTACACTTCGACATTGTAAGATCAAAGATAAGCTATTGGTATAGACTTGAAAATCTGGTAAGTCTTTTCCACCTTTACAAGAGTGAAGATGTATATTGTAAATCCAAGTCACTATGAAAAAGGTGAAGATAACAGACAGTGATTGATCTCTAAAAATCTATCAAACAATACAAATCTGGAAAGAGGGCATAAATTTGAGAAGAATCTCTATTTCTGGTATACATGTTGCTCCATTAATTTTCTCATCACCAATATAGATGGTATTTGTCGTGATTTAACTTTGGTCAGAGTACATCACATGTTTAAATGTTGTACACCTTATTCATGAATTAATGACAACGTGACCGTCGCAAATGAATATTCATTATTTTTGTGATTTTTTCAACAACAAAAATAATAATAATAATAATGAATTATCAATCTTTTTATAATGAAATATAAGTAATTATTTGATCGTATCCCTCATCGTATGACAATAATGAAGTTCAATATTTTCTCAGGTAAAAAAAAAAATAACCAAAAAAACCCCTGCATTTTCCACACTGGGAGTGTTTGTTAGGTTTTTCTGAATTCTGTCTAAAACAGGATTTTCAGTTTAAAAGAAAACAACATCTGATTACATGTATCTTAGAAACTGAAATTGCAAATTTGACAACTTCACGCAGGATGAGAATGAAATCGGAAAATGACAAATATTTATAAATTGGCTTGATAAAGACCTTGTAAGCTCTTTCATCACATTTTTTCTACATGAATATCATTGTAATGAAGCTTCGCTTTAGATTTTCAAACTCGAAATGAACTTTCAACTTTTCGTCATTTTGTAAACGAAAGATTGCATTCCGATACAGGACACAATAAAAGATAGAATCAAATGAGGAAGAAATTATTCCGAATTAATATTTTTTAATCTATGCTTTTTTTTCTTTTATAATGCATTGAACAAAAATCTGCCATATTGAAAACAATATGGCGCCTATGCAAATTAGCAAAACGTACTCCATTTCTCTATATGTAAATTCAAACGTACACTTAAAAATCATTTATTCTAAGATTTTATATATACATGTATAGGAGCGGAATCAACAACTTGAATCACATTCTGACGAAAAAAAAGTCGCTCTGGCACTTTTAAACAAATTTTTGGTAAGGAAAATACCTTAAATTACTGAAAAAATTTGAGCAATGAAGAAGTCTTACACGTGTTTGCATATCATTCAAAAGTTGTGGTCAAATCAAAACAAGCCTTACTTTTTTGACTCCTTAGAATCGTGACATTTTTTTAGTCTTTTGATACTCGCATACCAAATTAAGAAGCAATAATGTTGTACATAATTTGAAAAGCTGTAAACAAGGTTAAAAACATAAATCGTCCTTAAAATCAACTCCCATCAGTACCTTCAGTACTTTGATTTTCTATGCTTTGAAAGTCATGTGACATAAAAGAAGTATCAGGAAGCTAGTAAGGAAGCTTTCACATAGTACAAAATGAACACCTTTTTTTCTTTTCACAGCCTGATAAACCCAAATTTTACTTTAATTCGATTATTATTTTCCTGCATTTGTTTCAATTTTTATTGAGGATGTAACTTACAGCCCCCTTCCCTCACTCTCATGGTCTATCCTTACCATTACTTGCAGCAGAACTCGTTGCATGCACTACAACTTCGAGAGATTAAACAATAGCTCTAAATACGAGCACAATATTCAAGAAATTCTGTTGTAAGCATTAAATAACTTAAAAGTTATATGTATTTTTTCAAAACGTCCAACAACTAAGTTTGATCCAACAAACATACATGTAACATGCTTCTTTCCTCGCTTATCCTCTGTCTTGAGTGTCATGAAAATAACGAACCCTTCCTGCAAGTCATTCGTTGCAGATAGTCCACGGGTTTTCTATCCCTTTCCGTTTTTTTTCCTTTTCTTGAAAAAAGTGAAAAATCCCTTGAGTAACAGAATACATTTTATTATCAAGGATTAGCTTTAAAAAATCAAAACATCGCTATTTTTGTTTCCAAATTGAGACTTTTTGATTTGACCATATTTTATTGTAATTCGCAGGCCTGTAGCAACGATTTCAAGGAGGGGCAACCTCTCAAAAAAAATCTTACAAGCAATCAAAAAAAAAAACAACTAAACTGTCCGAAGGGGAGGGGACTTCCCAAAATAATCTGACAAGCAAAAAAAAGGGGGAACCTTATCAACTGTCCAAATCCTGGAATTTGCCAGTGCTCGACTTTACAGCAACAAAAAGTGGGAGGGAGAACAACAAGCATCTATAAAGGATAATTTACTATAGCATACTATACTTGAAAAAGGGGGCCGGGCCCCATAGCCACCTTTCCTCCCAGAAACTACAAAAATCAACCTCATTAAACAATCTGACAAGCAAGCAAAAAAAAAAAAAACAACAACCTTAACTGTCCGAAAAGTTTGAAAGGG